GATGAAAGACAGCGGGGTGTGGGCCAGGATACTCAGCTGCAGAAGCAGTAGAGCAGGTTTGGCATCCAGCAGGTGGTCTAGCAACTGCCGGGGCGGCATCAGCTGGATACGCAGCAGCTGGGGCGGCAGCAGGTGGTCCTGCAGTAGGTGGTCCGGCAGCAGGTGGGGTGGCAGCAGCTAGAGATGCAGCAGCTGGGTCTGTAGCAGCTGGAGCCACAGCAGGCGGGGCGGCAGCAGCTAGAAATGCAGCAGGAGGGGCGGCAGCAGCTGGAGCTACAGCAGGAGGGGCGGCAGCATCTGGACCTGCAGCACTTGGGGCAACAGCTGGTGGTCCTGCAGCAGGTGGTCTGGCATCAGTTGGGGTGGCAGTAGCTAGAGATGCAGCAGCTGGGCTTGCAGTAGGTGGGCCTTCAGCAGCTGGAGCCACAGTGTGTGGCCACAGCCGGCGTGGCGGCAGCAGGTGAAATGCCGCAGAGTTGCGGCAGTAGCTGTAGCCACAGCAGGAAGGGCGGCAGCAGCTGGACCCTCAGCATTTGGAGTGGCAGCAGTTGGTCCTGCAGCAGAGGGTCTGTGAGCAGTTGGAGCGGCAGCAGCTGGGCATGTAGCAGCTGGGCCTGCTGCAGCTCTAGCCACAGCAAGTTGGTCCATAGCAGAAAGAGCAGCAGCAACTGGCGATGCAGTAGGTGGGCCTGCAGCAGCTGGAGCCACAGCTGCTGGAACCACAGCAGGAGGGGTGGCAGCAGCTGGACACACAGGAGCTGGGATGGCATCAGGTCTCCTGGCATAGCCCTGGTCAGAGTACACAGAGCCACAACAGGAGTCAAACATGGTGTCTGAGGGTGGTGGTTCTCAGTTGGTGTCCACGAGTTTGGGTTTCAATTTTGGAAATCTTAATGCCCAGCTTCCCTTGTACCCTTTTTTTGTGTCTGGTGTTATTACATTCAGGAATATTTCCTTTTCATTGTTTTTCCTATTAAATATTCATTTATCAAATTAGCCAAGTTTGTTTTCAAGGTAGATGGAAACATTTTTTTCTTGATATATGATTCATCCTGTCAGCTGTTTCTGAATCATCTCTGAAGTTTGTGTCTTTCTTTAGCTACCTGAAAGAAAGCTATCACCTGATTTTTGCCTTTAGAGTTTTATGTTGTAGCCTGTTTTCCTGAGTACATGATGCCAACCCTTTGGGTATAATTGTTTCTATGGGCCTACATTCTTTTGGTGACCTGGGTTTATAAGGGTGCATTTTTTCTGATGGCTCATTAATGTGGGTCATTTATGTGGGAAGTTTTGAATGTGAAACAGGGGATGTCTGGTGTGAAAATATTATTATTAGGATACACCTCCTCCCCAGTGTGATTCATGGCCTACCATCTAGGCTTTCTGATGGGAAACAAATAACTGTTCCAAGGGGTAAAACTAGGGCACAAATTTTGATGTGTCTTGTTTTCCTTCAGGTTTATTAAGGTGTACTTAAAACACACAGTTTTAATACTGCACGGTTCTAATATATACATTTTGTTGAGTTTGGACATATGCATACACCATAATAGCAACACCACATTTGAGGTAATAAATAATATCTGTCATCTCCAAAATACTTTTTTGTCTTCTTGCTCTGTGTACTGTGTATGGTAAGAACACTTAGCATGCGATCTACCCTCTTAATACGTTTTTTAATGCCCCATATTATATTGTTAACTATAGATGCATTGTTGTTCTGTAGATCTCTAAAACTTACTCATCCTGTATAATTATAACTTTATATTTATTGAGCAACTACCCATTTCCTCATTCTCCCTGGAAACCACAATGTTATTCTCTGCTCCAATGAACTTGAGTATTTTAGATACCTCATAGAAATGCAATCATGTAGTATTTATTTGTCCTTCTGTGACTTACTTCACTTAGCCTAATGTCTTCTAGGTCCATCCATATTGTTGCCAGTCATGGGATTTCCTTAGCTTTTAAGGCTGAGTAATATTCCTTTGTGTGGATATATCACATATTTTAAATCCATTTTTCTGTCAGTAGACATTTGCATTGTTTCCATATCTTGGCTATTGTGAATAATGCTGTAATAAACATGGGAGTGCAGTTATCTCCTCAAGATCCTGATTTCATTTCTTTTGGATATATACCTGAAATAGGATTGCTGGTTTGTACAGTAGGTCTATTTTTCATTTTTTAGGGACCCCCATACTGTTTTCCATAATGGCTGCACTACTTTGCATCCCAGCCAACAGTATACAGGGGTTCTAATTTCTCCACATCCTTGCCAATACTTGCTGTTTTGTGGGTCCTTTTACAGATGTGTGGTGGTATTTTATTTATCTCCAGAACTCAGCTTTAGGGCTTCTTGGGGGCAGTTGGCTGCAGAGATAGTTAGAAGCTCTCTATCCAGCAGTATCTAAAGGTTCAGGTCCCTCAACTTCTGCTTTGTTGGGCTGACTTTCCTTCTGATTTTGATTTCTTATCTTTCTGATTTTATCAGATCATGTTGACTCATCTCTATTTCCAAGATTTACTTGTCAACCCAAGTTAGACTGCCCAGTGTCCTCGTGTTTTACTCTAATCCATACCTTCCCATCCTGCTGTCTCTTTTAATTGCTGACCTCTGAAGATGCCTTGTATTCTCCTGCTTCATTATTTAAATTGTTGATCAGATTTCACACTATAGGTCTTTATTTCCAAGAAAGAAGACAAAAGATGAATATCCAGGTTAAACAATATCAACCTGTATATTCATTCATAGTAGGGTTGGAGTAAAAGTTTAAAGGATACAAAATTCCCAACCAAATGACTAGCTGACTAGTGTTTCAAAAAAATGAGGGTACTGCCAATTCATCAATTGGCTCCTTATATACATTTTTCCCCTTGAGGGTCAAGGGACCCCAGGGAAGGAGGAGAACACTGGAAAATCCTGTCTTTGAATTATGTTCTTTGAAATGTGTGTCATTTTTAACTTTAGGATGGTTTTTGAGTAGTCATTTCTTTCCTTGGACTGGCCTTTCTGAGAACAGAACCATGGACATCTCAACTTTGTTGAGAGTCTTTGTATAAAATATTTTCATCAAGGATTTGGAGCCCATGAAGTTGGGGGAGATTGTATATATTGAATGCCAGAATCATGGTTCCAAACGATTTAGACATCCTTGCACAAGAGACTAAACCTAACAAGTTGAAATCTCAGAGCCTTTCTTAGATCTAAAAGAGTAGGTACCAATGCAACATGGCACATGAGATTGGGGAGGAGTAGATATATCTAAATTTCTTGGGAGAATTTATTTGAACTACCCTCAATACCTCTTCCCTGGGTATAATATTATTACCAAAATGACCCATGTTACGCCTGGTATTGGGTAGCAAAAGAGATTAAGAACTGCTGGTCTGCAGCTAGCCACCAGACTGCTACAAGAAAAGATTGAAGCAGTTTGTAATGAAAAAGACATAGGTGTTTACATGATAGTAACCTCAGTACAAGCCCACACTTAGTGCCATTAAACTCTGAATGCAAACATTGATACATTAATGCAAGTGTGATATGTAAAAAGGAAGAAGACACAGTTTCACTCTTTTGTGAGCATTCAGAACACATCTCAAAATGTGTTCAATTCTAGTTTACATTGGAGGAATAGAGATTAGTTGCAGTATGTTAAAAGTAAAACTGCTAGGATGGTGACATTGTGGTCAATGAAGAACAGATGAAAAAACTTGGGAAAATTAGCCTAAAGAAAAATGGAGCCTCTATTTATTTGGTTTAAGTAAATTCATGGATTATAACTTACTAAGGACTCTCTTTTTTGGTAGCAGTTGTAATCCATAGCTCTCATGTTATACATATTAGGTTCAAAAATGTCTCCCTTTCAACCTTTTCTTGTTTCTGCTGAAACTGAATTATGGTCTGGATAAAAATCTCATTGGCGAATGCCAATTTAATTTTTTTGTTGTAGGGTTCCCTGAGAACATATACTACTGTGTCTTACAAAAAATACAGCAATATACATTGAACATTTCATTAATAAGAAATAACGAGAGATGAGCAATATTAGTGCCTTCCAATGCTAAAAAGTTTTATTTGGGAACCTCAAGAAATTCCACATGATGGGGTGCCTGAGTGGCTCATTTGGCTAAGTGTCTGACTCTTGATCTTAACTCAGGTCTTGATCTCAAGGTGGTGAGTTCAAGCCCCACATGGGGCTCCATGCCCAGTGTGGAGCTTACTTTAAAAAAAAAAAAAAGAAATTCTCCATGAAAATGGATTCCATAGAGAAACATTAAAAAGAAAAAACCTAGAAGGGGAACATTTGAAGACTTTCATATTTGGAATCAGAATTAGGAATCCTAAAACAACTGTAGAATCTGACTATAAATTCTGATTCACTGGCAATAAGATATTTCTACAAAAGAGAATAAATAATATAGAGACTGGAGGTTTCTAAATCAGTCCATGGGTCTGTTTGTAAGTTCATGACATTAGGAAGTACCAGGTGCTTTGTTAAATTAGATGCTTTCTTCCTGGACTGAAGGGTGGGGGCAAATAAGTGTGAGTCTAGAGCAGGAAATTCAGCAGCAAGAACCACCATAGCAGCTGGGGTGGCAGCAAGTTGTTCTACAGCAGGTGGTCTGGCAGCAGGTGGGGCGGCAGCAGCTAGAGATGCAGCGGCTGGGCCTGCAGCAGCTGGAGCCACAGCAGGTGGGGCCACAGCAGGCAGGGTGGCAGCAGCTAGAAATGCAGCAGGAGGGGCGGCAGCAGCTGGAGCCACAGCAGCTGGGGCCACAGCAGGAGGGGCGGCAGCAGGTGGTCTGGCAGCAACTGGGATGGCAGCAGCTGGACACACAGCACCTGGGGTGGCAGCAGGTGGTCCTGCAGCAGGTGGTCTGGCAACAGTTGGGGCGGCAGCAGGTCTCATGGCCACAGGCCTGGTCAGAGCAGACGGAGCCATAACAGGAGTCGACCATGGTGTCAGAGGATGGAGGTTCTGGGTGGGTTTCCAGGAGAGTATATTCCTTGAATCTGGAAGTTTTCCTGCTCTAGGTTCCCCTTTATATCCTGCTGAGGGAGCTCTATTCTTGTTATTGCTCACCCTAATAAGTAAGCAATTGTTAAATTAGGTAATTATATTTTCCACGCTGGATGGAAAACATTGTTTCCTTTGCCTGATAGATTAGGATTTATCTCATTAACCCTTCCCCCATCACATCTTGGCTGTCTTCCTTTGTATGAATTATCTTGGTTCAGATTCTAAACTGAATGTGTTGATTCTCACTCCAACTGCTCTTTCCTCCTGAATCATCCCTGGTGATTCTGTCCTTGTAGGCATCATCTATGTTTACAGATACTGAAGTTCCTTCCAGAGAGCAGTTGCCATGTGAACCTTGACATGGAGTAGTCTAGATTTCACTCTTCCCCATCTGTGGGTCTTATCATGCCTACAATATTTGCAGCATTCCTTGTGAAAAAAGATTTAGTCACAGGTTCAATCGAGATATAAGAAAATTACAGAAGAATGGAATCTTAACCTGGGAAATCAAGGTAAAATCCACTAGTGTGATCAGTTGTTATCAAAAATGATTGTGGGCACAAATAGAATCCTCAAGACACAGACTGTGTTCTCATCTTATTTCTTGGACTTGAAAATATTGGTAGATTTCCTGTTTTTAAAGAACATGTATCTGGAATGGATATAGACCTTCAGGAATCACTGCTGGAATTGATAACAGAGCTCTGTATGTAAAAAATTTATACTTACATACAAAAGAATATACAGCATAGCCTCAATTATGCAAGAAATATTGAAATAATTACAAATATTAGTTATATTGACATTTAATTATATAAATTAAAAATATTGACATATTAATAGTAATTATTTCTCGTTGATGGACTTAAGGAAATTGTTAATTTTCTTCTTAACGCTTTTATTTCTGCTTTTTCTTTGATGACTTGTTTTTCATTTGTAAGCAAAAAAAATTAAAGAAAACTTTGTCATGTAACTATACCACTATCTAGAAATCTCTAATGTGACCCTTTGGGGCTGGGGGTTGGAAGTTACCAGACCAGGATAATGCTGTCAGTGAGGAAGAATTTCCTTTTCCCTTTAAGGTCCTTCTAGCTGGACTAAGAAACAAATTGACATGAAACAGATTAACAGGAGAAAATCAATTTTAATAGCATACATAGGGGGAATCCACACACACATTGAAATTCCAAAGACCATAAGGCAACATGATGCTTATATGAGGACACAAAGGGGAGAAAGACCATTAGCAGGAAGGTGAGAGGAGATGTTTAGAAAACAAAGGTTGCCCTATTTTGTAGATAGGTTTTTTAGGTGAAGAGGAATCACCATTAATAGCTCTCTTTCTGGTATAAGCAGGCAGTTGAGAGGAAGATAAAGAGCTTTTCCTCAATTTGCTGGGTTTTGATTGCCTTTAACTGAAAATAATGTTCATGCCAAAGTGGCCCATTTTGGGGCAGCCTGCCCTTAGCATCTATACTTCTCAGCATCATCCAAGTCTCAGCTCAGATCATCCTCTCCACAAGAGAAGCCACCCCCAACCCCACAATCGCAAGAACGTTCCAGTCTCTCTCACCATACTGTACTCTTTGTTTTTTAATTGTCTTCCTAGCACTTACCTTTATTTGAAATCACTATGTTCATTCTTTTGCGTGTTGTCAGTGTTGCCCTTCTAGAATGTCAGCTCTTGGTGTTATGTGCTCCGTTGCATGAACAGTGCATGGTATATAGAAAGCTTTCAGTAAGTACTTATTGAATGAATGAATAAATGTAGCACATGATTCCATGGGGGGCAGTGGCATGGTATGTTTGTATACATATTTAAACATAGAAATATTTGTATAAACATGGGAAAAGGTCAGGAACAATATCCATCAGTTTAATTTAGGGATGGGAGGAAAAAGTCATTAGGGAGACTTTTACTATGTACTTTATAATATTTTTGAATGTTGGCATTATTAAAGATACTTTTGTCTTCTTTTCAGTATGTTTCAAATAAAATCAAGTTTTAAAATGAACAGGAGATTTGGCTTAGCCAAGAAATGTATCTTATGAAATATAGTTTCTTTTATGACCTCTGCCAGATTTTGTGTGACATTGCCAGGCTTGGGGCAAGGCCTCATGATAAAAGGCTACTGACTCCCTGGTGCCCTTAGGATGTATGCCAAATTTCTTAACATGGCATCAATACCCTTCACACACCTACTTTCCCAACCCCATCTCCAGTCACTCTCTCATCTTCCTCATCACCCTAAGCTCTAGTCCACACTTTTCAGATTGCATCCTTTGCAGTTCTATCCAATGCCCTGGAAAACCTACTCCTTACTTTCTACCTAGCAAGAACCTAGCTCAGATGCCACTCTCTTATACCTTCTTTTGCTCCTTCAAACAGTTATTTGGTGTTAGTCCCTTGATATTCCCATAGAGTACAATCCATCTTGGCTATGGAGCTGCAACCATGTTGTTCTTCTTTGAATTCTCCATATCTAGCAAAGTCCTTAGCACATAGTAGGTACTCAATAAAAGTTTTTGGAGCTTGAGAAAACATTTAAACAATGTTAAAGATCTTTTAAATTATATTATGATACTAAGTTATAAAAAATGTGTCCATACAATATAATGAAACAATATAATGAAACAATATAATGAAATTTCACTAATTCAAAAACAAGAAGGCAGACTGGTCTAATTTGGTTGACTAGAGCTTTTAAAAATATTGCCTTTTAGCTACTTTCCAATATATTTAAAGCATAATTAAGAATTATAGCAACTGATGAATCATTGAACACATCAAAAACTAATGATGTACTTAGTATGTTGGCTAATTGAACATAATAAAAATTTAAAAAAGAATCATAGCTAAAGAATGCTTCTAAGTAATAAGTTCAAGGGATAGGTACAGAATGATATGATCCCCTTGCAATTGGCATTAAGTAGGTCCACATTGAGTTAAATATAATGTCTGTAATTACATTCACCATCTTGATTTGCCTTACAATCATTTTATGGAAGATGCCAAATTTCATGTGGGTGCAGACCAGGAAAAATTAGCCTGCACATGTCCCTGATGGACTGTGTCCAAATTAATGATATTTTATTGTGTGAATGTCATAGCAAGAGATTTAAAGTTTGTAGGAGACATTCAGGACAAACTTAGGAACTTGATAATCATGCTAAATTTCTAGCCCCCCCCAAAGATGTAGAAAATATTAGGCCACAGGAATTTGCATTTTTAAATGAATACCCCAGGTCATTCTGATAACAGGTGGTCCCTGGACATTTTATTGTTTGGGATCTGGGTAGAGAATAGTATCAGAAAAATCAGATTATAATGGGTTTTAATGCTCACTTCAGGAGAGTTAAATGAAAACCCATAAATTAGGGAAGAATTAGAGAATTTTGCCATTTCAGTGTTCTTTTTGTACTAGTACTTCAAATATAACATTTCTCATCTAATATTCCCCACTTATGCCACCTTCTTAGTATTTTATTCATATTATTCATATTGGTGCGAATTTCTTGTTTTAACCTAGTGATTTTCAAGCCTTTTTTTAAAAGAAAGATTATGAGAGAGAGTGTGTGAACCTGTGTGCATGTCGGCAGGGGAGGGACAGAGGGAGAGGGAGAGAGAGAATCTCCAGCAGACTACCCCGTGAGTGCAGAGCCTGATGCAGGACTTCCCAGGACCCTGAGATCATGACCTGAGCTGAAATCAAGAGTCAGAAACTTCACCAGACTGAGCCACCTAGGCACTCCAGTGATTTTCAAACCTTTAAAGCTTTTTAAAAACTGCTTCCTTACCTGGAAGTTCACTATATATAAATCCAATAAAATGAAGCCACTTCAGTTGGAGGGAGGCAGTTCATCTCTCAGCCCACAGTCTACCAGTATATGAGACACTTCTGACAAAGGCCAGGTGGCTCATTTGGCAAGCTACTGTTGTAGCCAAAAGAGCTAGGCCAGGTGGGTACAGTAACTTATGTGACCCTGATTCCATGTCCCTTTGAAAAACAGGTGCCAATAAGTTAGTTTGATGCATATCAGTTCCCCACATATACTGTTCTGAGGGAGGGATGCCTTTGTGAAATGCACTATCTTGGGTTGGGTGATCTCTAGGAGAGAAAATACCTGTGGTGGGGGTGGGGGAGGTGGAAGGAAGTGAGCCCAGCAGAAACTTCATTATCAAGAGTAATGGAAGGCAAATGAGATTTCCTTTTGCCCCAGTGTGAATGAAATCTGGGTCTGGTACATGAATGGAGAATAACTCTTGCCCAAAGTTTACAGCTCTTGTCTGCCTGGTTGCCTAAAGAGTTAGGGTGTAGAAAAAAATGGAGCATTGCTGGTTCATTAAAGAATCAAAGAGAAGAGTTTGGTTTGTGTTATCTGGTGCCTTTTTGTTATAAAAATAAGTTTGGAAAGGGGGGCAGAGCAAGATGGCGGAGGAGTAGGAGACCTGGATTTCATCTGGTCTCAGGAATTCAGCTGGATAGGGATCAAACCATTCTGAACACCTACGAACTCAACAGGAGATCAAAGAAAAGAATAGCAACAACTCTCTGAACAGAAAAGCGACCACTTTCTGGAAGGTAGGACGTGTGGAGAAGTGAATCTGAGGCAATATTCAGGAGGATAGATGGCAGGGGAGGGGGGCCTCCATCGGCCACTTCTGACAAGGGATAGAGCAGCAGAGCACAAAATCGGAACTTTTAGAAGTTGGCTCCGCTAAGGGACATCACTCCTGTGGCTAAGCGGGGGGGTGGGACCCTTGTGGGACAGTGTGGTCTCAGGACCCTCGGGGTCACAGAAATACTGGGGGTGCCTGAGTGTGACAGAGCTCCCAGGTATCAGAGCAGGGAAAGCTGGCTGCAGAGACGGAGCCGAGGCGCGGAATCTCAGCTCGGGATTGCCATAAACTGTGATCCGCGGCACAGTCGGGCCACT